TGTAAATCCACCTGGAAAGGGGAAGTAAACAAGTTTGGCTGACAAAACTGGGAGCATGGGGCTGGGGTTAGCGTGGGGGACAGAAGGGGAAGATGAGGGGAGAAGGGGAGGCAGGAGGAGAACTTGACGAAATGGGGTAGTCTAGGTAGAAGAAGGACAGAGATGAGAGCAAGGAAACAGATATTTCGATTGAGGGAGCCATTATGGGGTTAGCAAAAAGACTGTCAGTTGAAATTCCCAGGAATTCACAAGGATGACACCAGCTAAAACCCTAAGCAATAGAGGAGAGGGTGTCTGAGCTGGCCTTGCTCTGTAGTCAGACTAATCAATATGTATTTTTTCTTCTTCTATAAAATATTTATTTCTGACATAATTGTTTTGTTTTGTTTTTACCATTCTAAAATTTATACTTCCTCCCTTCTTCCCATTCGCCTCCCACTCCCCAACACACCTTCTTCCCTCCCCCTCCTTCCTGGTTCTTTGAGAAAATCAACAAGATTGACAAGCCCCTATCAAAACTAATCAAAAGGCAGAGAGAAAACACGCAAATTAACAAGATAAGAAATAAAAAGGGGGACATAACAACAGACACTGAGGAAATTCAGAGAATCATTAGGTCTTAACAAAAGCATATATGCCACAAAGTTAGAAAATGTAAAAGAAATGGACTTGTTTTAAGATAAATACCATATACCAAAATTAAATCAAGACCAGGTGAACAATTAAAATAGACCTATAAGTCATGAGGAAATAGTAAGCTGTCAAAAAAAAAATCCAACCCCCTCCCCCCGCCAAAAAAAAGGAAAGCCCAGGACCAGATGGTTTTAATGCAGAATTTTACCAGAACATCCAAGAAGAGCTGATACCTATACTCCTTAATGTGTTTCACACAATAGAAACAGAAGAGTCATTGTCAAAGTCTTTTTTATGAAGCTACAGTTACCCTGATACCAAAATGACACAAAGACTCAACCAAGATAGAGAATTACAGAATAATCTTGCTCATGAACATTGATGCAAAAACTGTCAACAAAATACAGGCAAACTGAATACAAAAACAAATCAATATCTTTTTTTAATTAATTAATTTATTTATTTATTAAGGATTTCTGCCTCCTCCCCGCAACTGCTTCCCATTTCCCTCCCGCTCCCCCGATCAAGTCCCCCTCCCTCATCTGCTGGAAGAGCAATCAGGGTTCCCTGACCTGTGGGAAGCCCAAGGAAAACCCACCTCTATCCAGGTCTAGTAAGGTGAGCATCCAAACTGCCTAGGCTCCCACAAAGCCAGTATGTGCAGTAGGATCAAAAACCCACTGCGATTGTTCTTGAGTTCTCAGTATTCCTCATTGTCCGCTATGTTCAGCTAGTCCGGATTTATCCCATGCTTTTTCAGACCTAGGCCAGCTGGCCTTGGTGAGTTCCCGATAGAAAATCCCCATTGTCTCAGTGTGTGGGAGCACCCCTCGTGGTCCTGAGTTCCTTGCTCGTGCTCTGTCTCCTTCTGCTCCTGATTTGGACCTTGAGATTTCTGTCCAGTGCTCCCATATGGGTCTCTGTCTCTGTCTCCTTTCATCGCCTGATGAAGGTTAATATTCATGAGGATGCCTATGTGCTTGTCTTTGGATTCACCTTCTTATTTAGCTTCTCTAGGAACATGAATTATAAGCTCAATGTCCTTTATTTATGGCTAGAAACCAAATATGAGTGAGTACATCCGATGTTCCTCTTTTTGGGTTTGGCTTACCTCACTCAGGATAGTGTTTTCTATTTCCATCCATTTGTATGCAAAATTCAAGAAGTCCTTGTTTTTTACTGCTGAGTAATACTCTAATATGTATATATTCCATACTTTCTTCATCCATTCTTCCATTGAAGGGCATCTAGGTTGTTTCCAGGTTCTGGCTATTACAAACAATGCTGCCATGAACATAGTTGAGCATATACTTTTGTTGTATGATAGGGCCTCTCTTGGGTATATTCCCAAGAGTGGTATTGCTGGATCCAGGGGTAGGTTGATCCCGAATTTCCTGAGAAACTGAAACACTGCTTTCCAGACACTAAGGATAAGGAAGCAGAGAGGGAAATCAGAGAAGCATCACCTTTCACGATAGCCACAAATAGCATAAAATATCTTGGGGTAACTCTGACCAAGGAAGTGAAAGATCTATTTGACAAGAACTATAAGTCCTTTGCTGGAGAGGCTGTGGAGGAACGGGTAACCTCATCCATTGCTGGTGGGAATGCAATCTTGTGCAACCACTGTGGAAGTCAGTGTTTCGGTTTCTCAGGAAATTCGGGATCAACTTACCCCTGGACCCAGCAATACCACTCTTGGGAATATATCCAAGAGATGCTCTATCAAATGACAAAAGCATTTGTTCAACTATGTTCATAGCAGTATTATTTGTAATATCCAGAACCTGGAAACAACCTAGATGCCCTTCAATGGAAGAATGGATGAAGAAAGTATGGAATATATACACGCTAGAGTACTACGCTGCGGTAAAAAACAATGACTTCTCGAATTTTGCATGCAAATGGATGGAAATAGAAAACACTATCCTGAATGAGGTGTCCCAGACCCAAAAAGATGAATATGGGATGTACTCACTCATAATTAGTTTCTAGCCATAAACAAGGACCACGGAGTCTACAATAGGTGAACATAAAGAAGCTAAGTAAGAAGGTGAACCCAAGGAAAAACATATAGTTATCCTCTTGGCTAAGGGAAGTAGACCAAATTTCTGGGGAGAAAATGGGATCTTGTGGGTGGGGTGGGATAGGGGTAAGAGGTGATGGGGAGAGAAAAGGTAGAAGGGAAGGAGGGGGGACCTGGGGAAACAGGAGAATTAGGATAAAGGAAAGGTGGATAGGGGAGCAGGGAACCACAATTCTTAGTTAAGGGAGCCACTTTAGGGTGGGCAAGAGACTTTACCCTAGAGGGGCACCCTAGTGCCCAAGATGAGGTTCCCAGTTAGTTCCTTGGGCAGCTGAGGATTGGGAACCTGAAATGACCCTATCCTAGAGCAATACTGACGACTATCTTGCATATCATCATAGAATCTTCATCTGATGATGGATAGAGATAGAGACAGAGACCCACACAGGAGCACTGGACTGAGCTCCCAAGGTCCCAAGGAGGAGCAGAAGGAGGGAGAACATGAGCAAAGAATTCGGGACCACGAGGCGTGCATCCACCCACTGAGACAGTGGGGCTGATCTACGGGGAGCTCACCAAGGCCAGCTGGACTGTGACTGAAAAAGCATGGGATAAAACCGGACTCTCTGAACATGGCGAACAATGAGGGCTGATGAGACACCAAGGACAATGGCAGGGGGTTTTGATCCTACTTAATAAGCTGGCTTTGTGGGAGCCTAGCCAGTTTGGATGTTCACCTTCCTAGATATGGACGGAGGGGGGAGGACCTAGGACTTAACACAGGGCAAGGAACCCGGACTGCTCTGTGGACTGGAGAGGGGGGGGGGGGAGTGAGGGGGGGAAGAAGGGTGGGAGGAGGGGGAGAAGGATGGGAGGAGGGGAAGGGAAATGGGAGCCTGGGAGGAGGTGGAAACTTGTTTTTTGTTTATGTTTTTTTTTCTTCTTTTCGCAATAAAAAAAAAGAACTATAAGTCTTTGAAGAAAGAATTGAAGAAGACACCAGAAAATGGAAGGACCTCCCTCACTCTTGGATTGGGAGGATCAACATAGTAAAAATGGCAATTCTACCAAAAGCAATCTATAGATTCAATGCAATCCCCATCAAAATCCCATCAAAATTCTTCACAGATCTGGAGAAGACAATAATCAACTTTATATGGAAAAACAAAAAATTCAGGATAGCCAAAAAATCTTATACAATAAAGGATTGTCTGGAGGCATTACCATCCCTGACTTCAAATCAATATCTTAAATAGAACCACAGATTCTTCATCCAGTAATTGATGGAAACAGAGGCAGAGACCTGCATCAGAGCACTGGACTGAGCTCTCAAAGTCCTGTTGAAGAAAGGGAGGAGTGAGAATATGAGCAAAGAGGTCAAAACCATGATGGATACACCCACTGAAACAGTTTACCTGAACTAATGGGAGCTCACCAACTCTAGCTGGACAGGGAAGGAAACAGCAAAGGTCCAAACTAGTTCCTCTGAATGTGGGTGACAGTTGTATGGCTGTGGCAGGCTGTGGGGCTACTGGCAGTGTAACCAGAATTTACTTCTATGGCTTGTACTGGTTTTGTTTGGAACCTATTATTATTAAATTGGTACCTTACTCAGGCTACATATGGTAGAGAGGACCTTGGACCTTACCCAAATCAATGTGCCTTACCATTTCTGAGGAGTGGATTTGAGGTGGGGTGGGGGTGTTTGGTGGAGGGAGGGGAAGGATGGGAGGGCCTGGGAATTAGGACTGGTATGTAAAATGAAAAAGTTTGTTTTCTTTTTAAATAAATAGTAAAGTTTAATTCTTAGGGATCACAGTGCTTCTGTAACCCACATCCTTTACAGCAGTGCAGTGACACTGCAAATAGAACCTTAGAATAACAGAATGTAACAATTACAAAGGGCCAGCAAAACAAACCAGCTGGGATACACCACTTAGAACACTCTAGTGAATACTCTGCAAATCCTGACTGCCATAGGGTGACACAAGAGCAAGTGTCCTTTGAGCACCGAGTCTATTTTTCTGAGCTTATTTGCACATTGATACATTAGCTACAGTGAAAATCGCTCAAAGCACCTTTAAAAGAAGTTTACTAGTGCTCAGGAAGCAGCCATTAGTCCAGGTCTCAAGGATGGGGTCAGCTCCTCTCCTGTTGTGGGTTTTGGGTTCCAGGTGAGAGGGTGCACTGTTGGGGAAAACTCTTGTAGACCTTGTTGCTTTTCATACCTCGATGTCCTGATCACTGAAATCATGGAATCTAAGTAGTGTTAAGTTTCCATTATATTTTATGGTTTCTCAGAGTGTAGCTTATGACTGTTGTTAATGTTTCTACATCCATGATGGATTTACAGCAGAGTGTTTTCAGTATTACTGTGTCAGCACGGTGTGTTTTCATTCCATCCTCAACTGTTGACATTATGCTTACCTGCTCTCCAGCTTTGATGTGTGTGTCTCTAAGACAGAGGGCCACCATCTCCTGCAGGGCCAGCAAGAGTGTCACTGAATACAACATTAGTTACATGCACTGGTACCAACAGAAACCAGGACAACACCCCAAACTCCTCATGTATGGTGCATCCAACCTAGCATCTGGGGTTCCTGCCAGGTTCAGTGGCAATGGGTTTGGGACAGACTTCACCCTCTCCATCCATACTGTGGAGACTGATGATGATGCAGCATATTATTCTAAGCAGAGGTATGGGTCTCCTCCCATAGTGCTCTGTGAGGATTTGGAATCTGTGCTTTAGTTTGCAGGGAATTGTGCTGCCCTGGCTCTGCGGTAATTTGAGGACTGTGACTGGGACACAGGTCAGCTATGAAATGCCAGGGCTAGGAGAAGAAAATATTCTTCTACCCTATCCTCTTGTCACAAGTTCCGAATGCCACAGAGTTTAAGGAAGTGGCTGCCCTGCAACACAGTACATATAGAATTGCTTTGCTCAGATATTTAGTATAGCTTAAATTAGATTTGTGACATTGAGATAATGTCTCTGGAGACTTTTGTGGACACACCACCTGATAGTATTTTGCAGTTGTTCTGATATTCTTGCGACCACAGCCCTAAATAAATACATCCTGCTCTCTTGAGAATGGTTACTTCACCCACATATACTTCCTCTTTTTGATTAAACTGTTGACTGAAGCAATTGTTTCAATAATGTATAAAAAGGGCTGCATAATAAACAAGCAGCATGCAGTTGCAATTGCTGCTTTTGCTCTGCACCCCCTGTGTCCTGGTTTATTCTCCAGACATCGACAGTTGTCTAGGGCTAAACAAAACCTCCTGGGGCTGCTGCCCACTGAAGTTTAGTCTCTGAGCTGGGTGTTTCCACACACATCTCCGCTATGTGATTCTAATAGAAAGCTTATTCATAAAAACGGTGAAGCTGTGAAACAGATTTCTTAAACTAATATGTGTGTTTGTCTGACCATAGATCCTTTGCAATTTTTTTCAACCTTCTTTCTTAATAAATATCCCATTGCTACTATTTCTAAAGCACACTTTTTAGGTTCAATAGATTGATTGACTAGATAATCATTTAAAATATACAGGAAATATTCCTCAGTTGCTCAAAATAAGATATTGAATATTGAAGACTGTTAGCTGTCTTGCAAAAGTTGACATCTCGATCCTAATGTCAAATTTCCACTTATATTTGCTTAAGATTTCAAATGTGCCTCTTCAATGAAAGACCCTCAACGAGGACCTCTTTTCGGGAGGAGACCTCCCCAACGCCAAGGAACAGGCCGAGACCGCAGGGATGCAAATCGCAAGAGGTTTATTGAATAGACACAAGTACCTGTGGGCAGCAAGATCTCTCGGAAGATTTGTGCACCTGCCAACTGGAGGACGGGCTTTTTATAGGGAAGAGCAAAAAGCAAGGTTACAGAAGCAAAAGCATGGTTATCGATCGACCGGAATGAGGCGGGGGCATGAATGGTTTCCCCTCTCAGCATGGGTGTCAGCAAGAAGCAAGTTTACAGAAGCAAAAGCGTGGTTATCGGAATGCGGCAGGGGGCATGAAAGGTTTCCTCTCTCAGTATGGATGCCTGGCAACAATCATCCTGTTCCTATCTTATAGCTAACCTGCTTTGTTGACATCCTATCTTATTGACATCTTGCCTTGCAGTCTTCCTATCTCTTTTTTTTTTCTTTTATATTTTTTTATTTTTTTTTTAATATTTATTATGTCCTTACAGATGGTTGTGAGCCACCATGTGGTTGCTGGGAATTGAACTCAGGACCTTTGGAAGAGCAGGCAATGCTCTTAACCTCTGAGCCATCTCTCCAGCCCTAAATGATTTTTTTTTTAATTATTTATTTATTATGTATACAATATTCTGTCTGTATGCCTGAAGGCCAGAAGAGGGCGCCAGACCTCTTTACAGATGGTTGTGAGCCACCATGTGGTTGCTGGGAATTGAACTCAGGACCTTTGGAAGAGCAGGCAATGCTCTTAACCACTGAGCCATCTCTCCAGCCAGTCTTCCTATCTCTATCTCCTGTTCTCTCAGGCACCTGGGATGTTCTAACAGGAGCAGGCTGGCTGCTGATCCGGAGATTTGTTTAAAACAAACAGGACGTTCCCCCGGGAGCATGCTAGCTATGGGTTTTGAGGAGGGGGTCTGTAGGGTCTTTCATTCAACAGATTGCACAAGCAAACCTCCTGCAACTGATTTACTGCTTAGTTTCTGAATTTTTATAAAAGAAAATTTTTTTACCTGCAATGACCGGTTCCTGCTAGTGGTGGCGAAAGAAAGGCACTTGAATCCACGTGGCCGAAGCCAGAGCCAGTCTGAAACAACTCAAAACCGAAAGTTATTGTTCTGCCTGAGGAGTTAGAGTGGTCGCGGAAGGGGTCACTTTGTATCAGACCAAATCTGCTGCTGTGGTGGCTTTTGTTGCAAAAGCACAGGTACTTGAGTTTATGCTAATTCAGGCAGCGGGCTTCCGCTGCAAACTTAGCTGAGGCAGGCAGGGAGGGGTTAATTGCTCCAGCAAGCAGGTGGTGGGGAATGGGTGTGTGTCCGAGTTTATCTCGAACTCTGCACTGAGGCCGAGTCACGAACTAAAAAACGGCACCCGGGAGCATGCTGTGTTAGCTAGCAGGCTAAGAGCTTGAGTCCAATTGCGCTACCTGAGCTCAGGTAGCTAATCTTGCTTGCAAAATCTTGGAAAGATCTAGCTTGTGCGCCTGGGAGCACGCTGGCCAGATAAACATTAGCCCAAGGCGAACATGCCCCCTAAGGGGCTGGACTTATCCCTACAAAATATAAATATCTAGGAAAGATATTGAGTGAAATGAGAACAGAAAAATTCAAATATACAAATTATTGGCAATTATAAAAGGATATTTAGTTACTTTTTCAAAATATATAGCACCAAAGATGAACATTTTCATGTTATAGATTGTGCTTACTATGTAAAAAAATAACACAAAGTAAAGAATCAGTATCAAGAGATATAATTGAAAAATGCTGTTACACCTTCAAAAGCAAGCACGTCAGAATGACATCTGAGCTCTCACTTGAAACTTTAAAGAACAGAAAAATTTTAACAATATATTTCAGAAGCTGATGATTATGTAACTTCCAAATAAATTAGCTATGTCCAGCAAAATTGTATTTTCAACTGGAGGAGCAATAAGAACATTATAAAAAAAATCAAAAAACTAAGGCATTTAATGACCATGAAGACAGCACTACAGAAGGTAGTATAAATTACTATACACATAGAAAAAGAGAGTTTCAGTCATGAGAATAATGGAAAAATGTGTTTGTCATGAGAGGAATAGGTGAACAATGACTATCAAGTAAGGATTATAGTATGTTTAACACTTTAAGAGAGGAAACTCAAACGTAGTTGTGGTGTAGGGAATATTAAGCACCTCATCATCCTAACGCTGGGTTTCCTCCTTTATAAGCTGCCGTTTTCCTATGTGCTACATCTGCCTGTCTATCCAAATGCAGTCCAGTGACTCTTAAGGACAAATATTCCTGTTCCCTTTCCCTGGTTACTTTCATTTTCTCCCTCTTAGACATTGCTGTACATGCTTTATTATAATGCTGTGTTTCCACAGATGAAAACTAAGATATGAATTAGGAGTTTATGATAGGATCACTTTGTTTAATGAAAATTATGTGAGGGCTCAGCCACTGTCCACATCACTCTGGAATAAAGTGAGCTGTCTTACTGAAGTCTTCTTCCAGACAGCTATTTCCATCATGTTCACTCCATTCATACTCTTTGCTGCTGTTTCTGCCCCTTTGTCTTCATGGTCATGTGGACAATAGACAGCAAGGAAATAGGTAACCACCAGATAGAATGGACATAGAGGGTAAGAATTTTCCTGATACAGTAGCAGAGGGAAATTTCAGCACAGTGCTTGGTTCTTTAGATTCAAACTTATTCAAAACCACCAGAAATTATTGAATTAAAATGCATGAGAAATGAATGGCCACCATGATATAATGAAATATGTCCCATGTATCATATATACCTATATAATACATGTCATTCAAAGCTTCCCATCATTCTTCCAAATACAGATATCATTTTAAGCCACAATGACTTATCATTTGTTAAGGTCTTAACAAATAAGAAAATCTTAATGAAACTGAGATATTACAGGGAAAAAAATACAGGGCCCAAATAATAAATTGTAAACTTCCCTGTAGCCACTTGAATTACCATTGGTTTATTGAAGAAGTCAGGGAGAAAAACAAACAGCTCAACACACCCAGAGGCATGAGTATGCACCTGCCCAGCTGGAGGGGAGTGCACCACACCTCCACTCCTACTGCAGGGGCTCCTTGGCTCTGCACAACCCTCCCCTCTCCCTCCAAGTTCGCCCTTTTGTCTGCGGGGTCCTTCGAACTTCAAGATTTCTCTCCCTGTGCTGAGGACAATCTTTCAGACTGGTGAATGGGTGCTATCCCGGGTGGGGCAGAACAAACAGGGAAGGAGCACTGGGCCCCTCCAGCTTCTGCTGCAGGATCCTCTTTGTTCCACAGATCCAAGCCCCCACGCACAAGCCTGCCCTAGTGTCTAGGAGGTCCTTGGCCCAGGAACAGTTCCTGTTCTTGCACTGAGGCTACTTACCCAGAGGAGTGAGTGTGCACCCACCCAGCTAGAGGGGAGTGCACCACACCTCCAGCTCCTGCTGCAGGGGTGCCTTGGCTCTGCACAACTCTTCCCTTCCCCACCCAAGTTTGCTCTTTTGTCTGTGGGGTCCTTGGATCTCCAAGAGTCCTTTCCTGTGCTGAGGATAACCTGTCAGACTGATCCATGGCCAGCAAGGGGTCTTGATCCTGTACCAGAAGATCCATCAGAGAGCTTTTGAAAGAAGAGATGGGCAGGCGCCAATACAAGAATTCCTCCAACAATCTGAAAAACAACATGGTAACACCAGAACCCAATGAACATACAACAGGAAGACTTGAACACCCTAGTCCAGAAGAAGTAGAAAAAAATTGACATTATGAAAGCGATAGAGTCCCTTAAACAGGATATGAAAAACTCCCTTAAAGAAATGGATGAGAAGAATAACAAAAAGTATGAAGAAATGAGTAAATCCATAAAAGACACCCTAGGAAACCAAGAAAAAACAATCAAACAGATAATGGAAACAGTTGAAGACTTGAAAACTGAAACGGAGGCAATGAAGAAAACACAAACCAAGGGCCAGCTGGATATAGAAAATTTAGGTAAATGAACAGAGATGACAGAGACAAGCATAACCAACAG